ACTTTTTATTAGAGCTACTTTTTATTAGAGCTACTTTTTATTAGAGCTACTTTTTATTAGAGCTACTTTTTATTAGAGCTACTTTTAATTCAGGTTGCAATTTTAGGTAGCTACCTATTAAAATTTTATTACTGTCTCTACTTCAGAAATAGTTGTAGCTACTCCTACTAGATTTTTTGACTTTCCTAAATTTCCTAATATCATAATTTAGTATTGCAATAAGTTCAGCTTTTTCTTTATCGATCTGCTCTAGTTTTGAGTGTCTGACAGCATTCCCTTTCATAGCCCGTCTTAATTTCGCATTTCACCTTAACCTTGGCATTCTCGACCGGGAGCTTAACAATCTCTTTTCTCAACAAATCTAATTCCGGCTGCATCTTTGGTGAAACTACTTTACCATACCCCTTCTCAATCATAGATTTCGTGAGATAAATAAAGGAAATATTTAATTATATAGAAGGCTATTTTACCTATGTAATTTTAAGCAACCATTGCGTGACTTTGGGCACGTGCTCATATTAGTTATCAAAAAGGTCTCTATCGTAATTTCGATGCGATTATATTTTTCTGGGGACATGCAAATTTGACATGTATGATTTTTGGCTCGAATTTTTTATTAATACTGAAAATAAATTACATGATTCCGTGATAAATTTGTTTTATACTAATGCCTGCAGACTTCACCAGTTTTTCATTTATCTCATCGTCTCAACAATTGATATTCTGAATAAAACTAAATGGGTTGCAGTTATGAGCGTGCAACGTTAGAAATAAAATAACCATTAACCTTAACGAAGCTCCGTTGAAAAATTTATATTAAATTTTCCTTCAGGGAGGTTAACAAGGTTCTCAGATCCTGGAACGAAAAATATGTGCTAATTTGATGACGCTTCTTTGCAAATGCACAGCTACGACCAAAAAAAAAAATAGATTCATACCTTGGTGTAATCGCCTTGTCCGGAATTTCGTCTCAAATAATTTCCTTTACCGACATCTTTTTAAGCGCGTGCACTTTTTTCTGTCATAATAGGTTCAAAAATAATTTTATACGGCTAAAAAATATATTATACGGTCAGGGTATGAGAACATATGCAAGATTAATTGAATTTTAGTCTTCTATATATTTAATCCTTCTGCTTCTAAACCATGTAAAAGTCTACCTATCATTTCCTTCTCATCTTTTACCAAAATAACACGTAAAAGAAAGATCTTTCTTTATTTTGATCATAACGAAAAAAAAATAAGTTTTTATGCACATACAAGACCGTGTGAATAAAAAATAAGCAGAACAAAAACTTTCTATAATTTCCTTCATTTTCTTCATTTTCTTCAAAAATATTTATATACGATAAAATAAAATACATAATCCCACAACATATTAGACCATTCAACCCAGTAGCAATAAGGATGCCATTCAGTACTTTAATGTAATCACTATTTTTTTAACAAAACGGGACCAAAAAAAAATGTTAAGAATAACAAGAGTGATGACAATAAAGGATCCAATGAGATCGAATAGAAAATTTGTAATCTTAATTTATCGTAACTTTTCATTCCGTTTCTCAATAATCCTTCTTTGACGATCTAAGTATTCTTTATCAATTTCTTCAGAAACATAAGAGCCATTTCAGGACCAAGGGTATCTTTTTTATTTTCTTTTGTTAAACTTAAACTTTGATTAATTTCAAATATGATTTTTTATACTAGAAAAAAGAACTGATCCACTTAGAATTCTAGTTAAGGAGTTTACTATAATTTTTAAAGTTCTGGAATACACATTCGTACTTCCTAAAGCAATAAAAACAATTCCAATTATAATGGAAATAATAGAAGTAAAAACTTTTCTTTTTTGACTATGTTTCGACTTCCTGACAAGATATAGATTCTTCTCTACAACCTTCTTCAATTGTTTCATACTAAATATTTTTTCCATTTTTCCACCGACCATTTTCGTTTCATCGATTTTCGTTTTATTGATTTTCGTTTCGACATCGCTTTTGTGTGAAAATTATTAGTTCAATAGAGGAATTTTCTTGTGAATTAAAATTATCACTTTTAAATGATCGTACTTTTTCGCCGAATCTTACATTATAATGATTAAGACAACCATTGCTATATCGGAGGGAATGGTGCTTTCGTGAATTCATAAATAATTTCTCAATTAGTAACTTTTAAAAGGCATAATCTCATGATGCTTCAAATCTCGAAATGGAACTTCAGAATGAAATACAGTCGAACCTTTAATAATTGCACTTGGGAGCATGACAGAATTTGGTTTTTTTTTCTTTATTATTGGAATTGAAATTGGATTCATTATTTCATTATTAGAATTAGATTCATTATTGGAAATGGATTCATCAATTGAATCCATCATTAGAAATGAATTCATAATCAGAATCGAAATTGGATTCATTATTAGAATTTAATTCAATTTTGTATTTGACTTGGCATTTTTCATAATTAGTTGAAAATTCATCTTTCTTTTTTTTTTTTTACATTTATTGCAATCACAATAGAATGAAATTGTTACTACCAATATATGCATATATATATATATATATTATATATAAATATTATTTATTAAATAAGATTAATAAGATTAAGATTGTTAAATATTGAAATCTATAATTTTTATCTATACAATGGTAAATCTATATCGGAAATCTATATAAATAAAGTTAAGAAATAATCTTTTAATAATTGTAAAAATTCACCATAATTCAATTTTTTTTACAAATTGTTTTTTTTCTCTTGTTTCCCAATAACCACCTTTATACACCCATTCATCATTTTCTAATTTAAACCATTGAGGTGTCCATACTTCACCCTTTGATTCAAGTTCTTTCCGAAAGTCTCTTTGTTTCTGTTCTATCCTTATCTTTTCTGCTTCTGCTTCTGCCAATTTACCCTCTTCAAATAATCTTTGATCTGGTCTAAATCGTGTATCAGTATTAGGTGAATATTCTAAATTATCAGGTGTCAATTCATTTAATTCTACACAAAATTGAGTGAATCCATAATATTGTTCATGATCAGGTATAGGAGGACTAGCTTTCCAAATGACATTTAATTGATTTGGTCCTATTTCATGGAAAACTATTTCATTCCATCTTCCCACTAACTTTCCACTTTTTTTTCCATTTTTATAATACAATATTCCAACAATATCACTCTTGGGTCCACTACTGAAAAGTCCACTTTGATTAAAAGTAATTTCACATGCTTCGCCGGTTGTTTGATTCTGGATTTTCATTGTCCCAGCGTGTTCCAAATATTTTGTTCCCGAAATCATATTTCGCATCCATGTGGATGGTTTGGAAAATGTATACTGATCATTGTATTTTGGAATTGACAAACGTACTGTACCAGATGGTATAAGTTCCTAGAAATTGGAAATTACGTTTTCAAAATTCCTTTATTAAATCTTTATCTCAAAGTAATGTTAAAAATATTAAAAAATTTATTATTAACTAAAAAAAATAAAAATACCAACCATCGATTTACCTAAAAAATAAATAATTTATATCATCAATATTATTAATATAATCAATTATCAAAGATTTCAAAGAAAAATGAGTAAACAAGAGAAAAATGTAATGATAGTTAAATATAATTACCCCAAAATTTACTTTTCACTTTAGAATCTTGCGAAAATGACCAATTTTCTGACTCTGCGTAACACTAAACGGAAGAAAATAGATTAAATAATTATATTATCTTTCTTCTCGTGTCATTGTTATGTCGTGTCATTGTTATGAAATTAATTAATGTTTTTTTTTACTTACTGCCATTATAGGTGGATAATGACTAACTTTCTCGGAAATATATTTGTATCCTATTGAATTAATGAAAATAAATAAATGAAATAAATATTATCAATATTCAATAATCAATTATAATTTTAATAAATGATAAATAATAATTAATAATAATACCTTTATCAGGACGAATTAATTCATAAGTTTCACCATGAAGTGGATTAAATGGTTTTCGACTTGATCGATAAAATGTGGATGCATACCCTGAAACTGCAAATGCTGATACATATATTAATCTCATCAATGAGTCATCTAGAGAAGCCGCTTTATCAAGTAACTCGCTATACTCCAAGTCTTCTGCCAGTTTTTGTAGCAAATTTATAGGTTCATTAAGAGAAATAGGCATTGCAATAGTTGCCAAATCTTTCCCTACATTCTTTTTTAGAATGGAAAGCAAACTGACTTCATCCCCACAAATTGGTGAAGGTAAAATTTTTCTTCTTCGAACAGTTGAAAATAGTTTGGTATCATTCGATTCAATCCCTACAGGTGAAGCTACAATCTCTTGTTCTTCTTTTTCAACTACTGAGTTTTCCGTTAAAGAAGAATCCATCTCACTTCCTTCATCACTAACATCAATATCTGCATCACTATCTGTTGTTGAAGGATCTCCAGTTAAAACAATATCTTCGGCATCAAAAAATACATCCGGAATAGTATTCGCTGAACTCATAGATTGCGAACGGTTACTTAATCTTTCTTCAAAATCTTTAATATTATTTCCATTTTCAAGACTTTCATCAAAGCTACCAGCTTCAGCAAGTGCTTTGCGTAATTCTGCATTCTCTGTTACAAGTTTACTATATGCATGATCAATTCCTTTCCACTTTTCAATCTCGGCTTGTAATAAGGTAAATGTTTTTACCTTGTCTTTTTTAATACTTTCGATTGTTGCACATAATTTTTCATAAATTTGTTCTAATGGCATATGCAATGCGTTTGGGGGTGTACTAGATTCAGGTGGAGGAGTATTTCCTTTTTTAATTAAAATTAATATTACAAAATAAATTTCAAAATAAAAGTTAAAATAAATGTTAAATATTTTTATTAAATATGTTTCCGAAAATATTTATTAATTTATTACCTCTTGGTAATGAGAATTTTATTCTAAATTTTCCTTCAGCTGTTGGATGGGGCTTGGTTTGAATTGGAGCAGGCGGAATTTCTGTTACACTTTTTAGATTATCCAAAAGTTCATTTAAGGTCCTAAATCCATTGTCCATACCATTAAATGTCTCATAAATCTTTCCAATGTCTTCGTCCAATTTATTTTGACGTATAAATATTTGCGGATCATTTTTTATACTATGACGTTTTTCCAATAGGCTTTGACGTTTAAAATATAAACTCTGACGTCTTTCAAAATCTCCTGATTGTCGGGAAGATGTTCTGGTGTAATCAGGATCATGAAGTTGTCTTTCTTTTGAAATATTAACATATTTACGAATAACCGTCATCCATTCATCAAATTGTTCATTTGTAAGTGCTTTCATGTGATAAGTAGCAGTTCCAGAATCTAAATGTATAGAACGAAATTGTTGATTTGATGAAACAGTAGAAAGGACAATATGTATCGTGCCACGGCAAGGTCCATGAGGATGTTGAAAGTAAGAAAGTATTCCATCGTCAATTTGAACCCAACGTTTTGCCCATCCTATAAAATATTTAAAAATATTAAATATTAGTATTAAAATTATTTCAATAATTTAAGATCTTAAAAATAATAAAATAAAATAAAATAAAATAAGATATCACCTTGCATTTTTTTTCTTTTCTTCTTTAATAACCAACCAGAAATTTCAGGTTGTGATTCAACTTGTTCATCTTCTGGTCCTAATTTATGCAAACAGATCATTCAATAAAAAAAAAAATAAATGATTGAATCACAAATTTGATAATTGAATAAAATTTACCATCTTTAAGCGCCACAAAGAATGTCAAAGATTTTGAAGTATTTCTTGAAAACGAATTATCTTTAAGAAATAGGATAAAAATTATTTTAATAAAAAAAAAAAAAAAATCAATATTTTAAGATTGTTAAGATAGATTAAACAATTACAAAATAAATATAAAATAATATAAAACTTTTAATACCAAAACACAAACAATAAGTTCCTTCTTCAGTTACTTGATAACTTCCTTTAATAGTGGTGGTAGAAGAATTGTAATGTTCGATAGGCAAAATTTCTTTCAAATCAGGATCATTAATTATTTGTGCAGATGCTGATTTTTTGCGTCCGCGATTTGTCACAGGACTAAGGGAATGTGCCGAAGCAGCACTTGAATCAATACGCACATAACTTGAATCATTCGCGTCATCTCCATGAAATTCTTCATTTTCGTCGGTATCATTTGTTTCGAAAGAATTTCTACTCTTTATGCTAGATACACCTGGTGTTCGAATGGGAGTTTGAACTTTCAAAGAAATAGGTGATAAATGTCCACTATCGCTTGAACTTTGTAAGTTACGATTATCAATAGGACTTGCAATAAAAACATTTCCTTTCGATACAGTTAGACCTTTTCGTTGATATAACCCAAACGAAATATTTTTCTTTTTTGTCGAAAACCACCATAACATGGTTTTGCCTTTGGGAACGGTAATATAGTGAAGGAAAACATCTCGGGGAGCGATCTCAACTTCTTGCATTTGTGATTATAAATAAATAAATATAAATAAATTAATTGATTAACGGAAAAGTTATATGAAAATCAGAACACTCTAGAACTAACACACGATTTCCGAAGATCGCAGACCAATTTCCGAAAATGCCTCGTGTGTGATGACTGTGCATAACCCTATTTTTCTTAACTAGTTTGGTAAGTTAGTACTGTAGTATATTTAAGTTTTTTTTTTTTTAATATTTCTGATAGAAATTAAATAAAATAGTGATAGATTATGTATAGCTGTAAAAGTATACTTGTGTGAGTGCTTGTTTAATTCTTAGTTTAAAATAAAATAATTCCACTTTACAAGAACATTAATTAAATTTGCTCTTAGCATTGGAACCAAGTCGATTTTAAAAGTAATTTTGAAGAACAATAAATTTTTACTGGTAAAATCCCATTGCTTACAATTCCTGTTTGTTATAAACTTTACGAGTGTTTGAAAATTTGTTTTAATAAATTTTCTCAGCCTTTGTCTCGAAAAATTGACCCTTTAGTTATTTTCAGACAAGGTAATTTTTTTTAAAAAATGAAATTTTATTATCTTGTAAAGAATTTAATATATATATTTATATTTATATTTAATCTATATTTCACGTATATTTCATGTTGATCTTATAGAGCGAAGAATTTGAGAATTTGAAGAATTTGAAATAATTTCATAATTTAATAAATTGATCTGAATGGATCCTGCCGAGAATATTCACAATTCTAATGAAAATGATAAAGAAGATATAACAGAAAAGTTATCATCAGATAATATAAATATCAATGTACAAACAGAAACTAAAAGTCGTATTTCAATTCTATCTTCTTCACGTTTGAGTGCAATGTTTGATCCAACTCTTTTAAGTACTTGGATCAATGGAACCAGCGATCAACAAACCACCAAAGCACAAAAACATACTACTAGAGTATTAGATGATACTTTTACAACAGGTCTAGAATCTGTACGATTATCAAAAGGTCCAGACTTTTCGTTACTTTCAGAGGATGAAGATTTAAATGATGCTTTTGAAAAGATTTTGGTAGATGAACAATTTTTATTATGAAGAAATATATTTTTTTCTAGTTATTATTTATTGAAATTTAATTCAAATATAAATTTTTCAATAGGACGAAATAGACATACGAGGAGAACAACGTAATACAATGTTAGAGTTGTCTGATGATCACAAAAGAACATTAATTATTCAAAACAGACAAGCTCGCGCAATCAAACAAGCAACCCAACAATCGCAACAGGATCAAATTGATAACTCTCCTTCTACACATGAAGGGGAAAAGTCTCAACAAGATTTAGAAGTCAAGGATACGATAAAATATAATGAAGAAGAAAAAGAAAAATCAGAAAAAAATAATTCTGATGATTCAACTTTTAATAATATTATTGAAAGTAATAATGAAATAGATCAAGGAACCAAAATATCATTGATTTCTACTTTACTAAGTTCAGAGTCTTCAATATCTTCATCAGAATCATCATCTAATTCTGGAGGATTTTTTAGCCTTTTCTTTGGATCAAATTCAAGTACAGTGAAATTACAAAATACTCCAGATTTTTATGTTGAAAAATTGACACAAAGGTATTATTATTTATAAAATTTCCACCAGATTTATATTTCTATTTATATTTTATTTATATTTTTATTTGTATTTTTTTTTTTTTGGTAAGAATATTAAGTTTTAAATACCTTTTTTAAAGGAATATTCCTGCAAAAGAATTATCAAAACGGTTACAATCTTTACGTATAGAATTATCTACCGCGGAACTTTCTTGGATTAAAACTTTTATTGATTGTGAAGGTTTGGTAGCATTGGAATTTGTACTTAAAAAATATACAATTGGATTGAAAAAAAGGTTTGTTGTTATTATTTTCGTTTTTAACATTTTTAAATTATGTAATTAATCGTTTTATTATATACATGCATGATATATATCTTAGTACGGCGAGAAATACTGACCATGATGACAAAATACAATTCGAATGTATACGTTGTCTAAGAGTGTTACTAAATACGAAAGTGAGTTTTCCCTTCCAAATAATTTGATATTTTTAATATAAATCATTGACTATTATTTACAATTATAATTTATTTTAAACTAGACTGTGTATGGCCAAGTTTTAAATTCCCCCTCATTAATTAATTGCATAGTTTTTTGCTTGCATACACCAAATAACAAGCTTCGTTCACAAGTTGCTTACGTTTTGGCAGCATTATGTGTGCTTTCATTTAAAGGGCATAGTTTAGTTTTGAATGCATTTTCAGATTTTCGTCAAGTTCATGAAGAGGAATTTCGGTTTCAGTATTTAATGGAAACCTTAAAAATTAATGATGCGGAAGAAGATAGTGGTTCGGTTGAATATAAGTCTGCATGTTTAAGTTTAGTAAATTCTATCGTTTCACCACCTGAAGATGTAGAAGAAAGAATACAACTTCGTAAAGAATTTGAAAGGCGAGGATTAATTGAACTTTTTTCGGTAAATTTATTAAAATTTATTTATTTATTCCACTTTCTCTTTTCAGATGATCTCCTTTCATTAGTTTTATTAATAATAATATTTCATTTTATTTATAGTCAATAAAAAATTCGGATCCACCTGAGTCATTACTGAAACAAATAAATAAATATGAAGAAGAAAGTCAAGAAGATTTAGATGAACTATATGAAAAAGTGCATGATATTGTGCGTGATGCAAAGTAAATATAAAATTTATGTTATTGTCATTATTTTTATTCATATCGCCAGCTTAATTAATAGATTTAAAATTCCCTTCCAGTGATCCATTTTCTATACTTGTTGGTCTTGTTCGACAAGTTGAACATGATGAAGAACTATATTTTCGTGTAGTTGAAACTTTAAAGAACTTATTAAGAATTGTTTGCAGAGATTCAGAAGAGTCAGTATTTTTTTTAACTTTCCTTTAAATCTATATAAATCTTATTAACTCGATTAATTTTTCTTTAAAGAATTTCTCAAAATGAAATATGGACTTTAGTTGAACTATTCATAGAGAGGATAAGGTCCCTAACGAACATTCAAGATGGTATTATTTGATAATAAATTATTTAAAATCTTATGTCTTTTTAGCAATTGAGTTTTCTTATTTAATATTTAACCTTATTTTATAATAATAGAATGGCAAATAACCATGAACGAATTTCTTGCATCTGCACAATATATTGTTGGAAAATTTTCCATTGTTAGCGGGAATATGACTGATGAAATAATTGATTCAATGAAGGTTAAATCAAATGAATTGGAAACTAAGGTATAAAATAAATTTATTTATGATTACTTTTTTATCCGATAATATTAAAAATACTCATGATTAATTTTTAATAGATCATACCCCTAAATTCAGAAACTCTTGTGGATAATAAAATCGAAACTTGTTTAATCAGTAAATCCTCGAAAGATAAATCTTTGAAACATTCGAATATAAATGAGGATGTTCCGCCGCCGTCGTCAAATAAAGACAGGGAAGTTCCACCGCCACCCCCTCCCCCACCATCAAATAAAAATGGGGGAGTTCCATCACCACCGCCACCTCCCCCACCACCTCCAAATAGAAACGGGGGAATTCCGCCACCTCCTCCCCCGCCACCTTCAAATAGGAACGGGGGAATTCCGCCACCTCCTCCCCCACCACCTTCAAATAGAAACGGGGGAATTCCGCCACCTCCTCCCCCACCACCTTCAAATAGAAACGGGGGAATTCCGCCACCTCCTCCTCCACCACCGCCAAATAGAAACGGGGGAGTTCCGCCACCTCCTCCTCCACCACCACCAAATAGAAATGGGGGAGTCCCGCCACCTCCTCCCCCACCACCACCAAATAAAAATGGGGGGGTTCCACCACCTCCTCCCCCTCCCTCACAATCAAATGGAGCTCCGCCACCCCCTCCAAATACCAGAATTTTGCCTTTACCCATAATAACAACTTTGAAGCCAAATGTCCCACTAAAGCCATTATTATGGAGTAAAATTCCTCCATACAAAAGTTCAAATACAATATGGCAAGATATTCCAGCTGAAGAAGTTCCATTAAAAACTGATGAACTTGATATGTTATTCTCAAAAAATCAAATGGTACCAAATGTTAAATCTCCAGCATCTCCAACATCTCCAAAAAAACCAGCAGTAACAACATTACTCGAATTTAATCGAGCAAATAATATAGCAATAATGTTGGCCCGTATTAAATTAACTTATGCCGAGATTAAAAAATCAATATTAGAGATTAATGATGAAGAATTAACTGTGGATAATTTGCGTAATCTAAAGAATTATATACCAAGTTCAGATGAAATTGAATTGATAAAAGATTATAATGGTGATATCGCAATGTTGGGTAATGCGGAAAAATACTTTCGGGAAATAATGGTGATACCTAGATTTTCCGAAAGATTAGGATGTATGATATATCGAAGAAGATTTGAAATGGAATTTGAAGAATTGAAATTGGTAAATTTATAATAATAAGATCTACATTCTATTTTATGTATAATTTATGCTCAAAAAAAAAATCATTCTTTTTCTAATATTGAAGGAAATTGAAGTCTTTCACGAAGCATACATTGAATTGAAAGAATCAATTAAATTTAAAAGGCTATTAAAGGTATTTCTTTTTTTTTATTTAATAAATGCATAAATATATTTTTTAATTTAATAATAATAAAATTTGAATATGATATGTTCGAACAGACTATATTAGTCATAGGGAACTATTTGAATGGTTCAACATTTCGAGGAAATGCGGTGGGATTTCAATTGGATTGTCTTTCGAAGGTATACCGATAATGGTATTTTGTATTATTTTCATTTTTCAAAATTTAATTAAAAAAAGATCTAATTAAAGGTTTTACAAAATGTTAATTAGTTGAGAGAAACTAAGGCATTAGAAAATAATTCCAAAGGAACAGCAACTTTACTTCATTATTTTGCATTGACCTTGGAAGAAACTCAAAAGGATTTATTATCATTCATGGATGAATTAAAACATTTAGACGCTGCAACACGAATATCTTTTGTTACTGTAGTAAGTTCGGTTGCATCTTTAGATATTGGCTTTAAATCAATAAAAGAAGAGATTAAGAAATTGAAAAAAATTGGTCTGTCTCCTAAAAATGATAATTTTTGTAAAGTTATGGAGGTATGAATTATTAGATTACAAATAATAAAAATAAATAAAGAATGATTTTTTTTTTTAAAATAATTTAATGATATTAAAAATTTCTTCTTATTATATTTATATTTAATAAGAAATTTGTAGAAAAAGTTGAACAAGTGATAGAAAATATAAAAGAATATACAACGAAATTAGAAGAGGACTTAAAACAATTATTAATATATTTCGGCGAAGATCCAACTACAATAAAACCAGAAGAATTTTTTGGAATGATTGCATCATTTGGTAAAGCATTAGCAGTAAGTAATATTTATGATTTCTGAAGAAATTACTAATAATTAATAATTTAAATTTTTCAACAATTTATAATAATTTATAATTTAATGTTTTTTTTTTTTTTGAATTATCAGATAGCACGTCATGAGAATGAAGAGGAAAGGAAAAAGGCAGAAAAGGAAAAGCAAAAAGAAAATAATATTCAAGCTCGTCTGGTACTTAATAATTAATTTGTTGCTTCCTTTTTTTATTTATTATCCAACTAAAAAAAAAAAAAAAAAAAAAAAAAAAAAAAAAAAAAAAAAAAAAAAAAAAAAAAAAAAAAAAAAAAAAAAAAAAAAGAAAGAAAGAAATATGTAATTAAGACTGTTTTAATATGTTTTTTACAGGCTTCACGAAGACCTTCGGATACTTCAAGTTTAGCATCATCAATAACAGGAACAGGTGAATTCGACGAGGCAATTAGAAATTTGAGATCTGGATTGAAGAAAACTCGAATGAGACCAGTTTCTAGAGTTTTTATTGATTTACAAAGTAGCGGTCATATTAGGGGACCAAGCAGTAACTCTCATCATCGAAGAGCCAGTAGTACTATACAACATGTTCGTTACAGTAGCACATTTTTACACACATCATCTTTGCTTACTGAGTAGAAAAATAAATTTTAAATTAGAATAACAATTTTATTTTATTTTATTTTTATATATATATTTATATAAATATGGTACTTTTGTGTTTACAATTATGACTAGAGAAAGTTTAATATGACATTTTTCAGTTATAGAGGACCTCTCAAGATATGTATTAATAATAATATTTTATTAGAGTTATTATATACTCTAATTGTAATTATATGTAATAAATAAATTTTATAATTAATTTCGGAAGGAAATTATTTAACCAAATTAGGTAAAGTCAATAAATTCAATAAATTGTAGAACTTAGATTGCGTCACAAAAACATTGTCTCATCCAAATTAGTAATAATGATAATAATGATAATAATAATAATGATAATTATGATGATAATAATGACGTAAAGGAAAAATAGGAAAATATGATAAATATGATATCATTTCACGGGCGCGAGAACCCAAATTTTATTATAAATACTTTTGAATTTTTTTCCCATAGAACTAAAAGTTTTGATATCTTATAAAAAAAAAAAACGTAAATTATATTTATTTATCTTATATTTAAAAATGGCATCAGGACCAGTTGGTGGAGGATTTATCAGACACCGAAGACTTTGGCGTTTTTTTTCGGTTGATCCAGAAATTTATCCATTAATTGGATTGCTTTCTGTGATGTTCGCATCAGCTGGTTATATGATGGGGCGTAAAGCCACCAATAACGAAGAGAATAATATTTTGAAAGCCTCACAAGCATATCCTTGGCAACATATTAATGAAGAAGGAAGACCTGGTGATGGTAGGAATCATGAAGGAAAAGATTACAAATATCGCTATCATGCAAACAGTGATCCTAGCCAACCAACATATACTGCTCCGAGCGCAGTAAACGAACATAGAATTCGTCTCAGATTATCAAAAGATGTGGCAGAAAAACTTCCAAAAAGTATGGTCGTCGATTAATGTAAAACATAATTATCAAGTAAAAAAAAAAAGAGAATTCAAAAATATAAAAATTATCATTTTCAATTATTTGTATTATTAGCAATTTTTTTTTTTGAAAATATGTTCTTTTAATATTTTGTAATTAGATTTTCATCATATTTTTTATCTTAAATGAGATATTTCATTTTTCGTTTTAATAAAATAAATGTAAATCTTCAAATATAATATATTACCTATATATATATATATATAATATGTATTAATTATATTAGAAAATATTAGAAAAAAGTTATTAGCGAGATTACACAAAATCAATAAAGAATTTATAAAAAAAAATCAATGAAAGATCTTAACTATTTCAATTCATCTTATTTTTAAGGTTAAGGGATTCCGTGTAACATTATATAATATATATATTCAGTATTTATTTCCTCGACTTCTTGGTATTAAAATAAACCAAATTTGATCAAAAACTAAATATCGATGGTGCAACATAGATCAAGAAGCTTTATTCTCGAAGAAAAACCAGCCTCATATGATGAAACTCTAGATCAGTCAGCTTTACCAAATTTGAATTCGACCTGGGTTTATAATAAAGGTTACTTTATATTTCATAAGAAATTGGGTTTCTATAGAGCAGTGGGTTAATTATTTGTCATTATCACTTTATGCAGGTGCATGGTTTATTCATATTATCATTATTCTCATTGTCAAGACACTTTTTAGTATAATTCCTGGAGTGTCTTCAGAGGCTAGTTGGACGTTGACTAATTTGTCATACATGCTTGTAAGTTATTTTATTTTATTTTATTGTTATTTTATTGTTCATCGTTTTATTCATACATAAAAAAATTGGTTTATTTTATTATTTAAATAATAGGGAAGTTTTGTAATGTTTCATTGGGTTAAAGGAGTTCCCTTTGATTTTAACTCTGGTGCGTATGATAATTTAACTCTATGGGAACAAATTGATAACGGAGCTCAATTTACACCAGCTAAGAAATATTTGACAGCAGTTCCAATTGGATTGTATGTAATATTTTTATTTTATTTTTATTTTTATTTTTAATTTTTTTTTTGAAATTGAACTTTTTAATCTTTTATTATTAAAAGATCTCAAAAAAAATAAAAATATTTTAAAAAAATATTTAATAAATTTTTTTGTAGATTTTTACTCAGTACACATTATACACATTATGATGCATTTACTTTCTTAGTTAATTTCACATTTTTAATAATTGTACTTATAGCAAAATTACCACAATTGCATAAGGTTCGCTTATTTGGAATCAACAGACTTTGAAGCGGGATTAAAATAATAATAATAATAATAATAATAATAATAATAATTTAAATGTTTATAACAATAACAACGATAAAGAACAATGAAAGATGATAAAGGATGATAAAGGACGATAAAAGGACGATGAAAGGATGATAAAGGATAAAAGGAGAAAGAGAGAGATATATATAGAAATTACCCTCCCTGTTATTTCTTCATAATGCCTTTTATCATTTCTTTTAATCCTCGATTAGTTAAAAATGTTAAAAATTATTTTCAGAAAAAAAAAAAAAATTTTTTAATTTAATTATCTGATGGGCAAGCTGTTAAGATCATATGTTTTTATTGTATGTAAAATTTATATAACAATCATTATTCAAAAAATATTAACAGTACCCTATCAATACTGTAATATATAATACATAAAATCTAAACATTTGTAAAATATTTGATTGAATGTTTGTTCCTTTTTTTTTTATATTTCATTAATATTTCATTCATACAAGAATTAAAAATTTTGTATCGGATAATAATAATAATAATTATACAAATAATGTAAAATTTTATTGCTCCTTTTTAGGTTCGGTTCTATTTTCTCTTTCATCCAATAATTTATTGTAATCATCAGTTAACCTCACATATTCTTTATGTTGATTATCGGCCTGTTTCTTCAAATTATCAAAATTCATTGCTTTCTTTCGATATTCTTCTAATTCTACGCTCAATCTTTCAATTTCAGTCTGTAATTTACTCTCGGATTCATTGACGCGATGATATTCTTTTGATTGATTTTCTGCCTGTTAAAGATTTAATTCGAAATATAAGTTTTCATCAGAATGTTATTTATTTTAAAAAATAGGTAATACTTGCCTGTTTTTTTAAAGCTTCAAGTTGATCTTCGCTTTTCAACATTTCTGCAATAAGTACACATGTCCTATTTAAAATTCTAATGATTCAAAATTTATAATATTATTTAATATTCATTTGATGTTATTTGATGTTATTTATGTTATTTGATGTTATTAATATTATTTGATATTAATTAAATTAATAATTAAATCAAATTAATCGTAACAAAAAAATAGTGTTGAATTAAAAAAACCTACAAAGACAAAAAGAGAGTAAACCCAGTCAAATACCTAAAGAAATTGTATAAAAAAAATAATAATAATAAAAAATGAGTTATTATAAAATAAAACTATAAAAAACACTAATAATATTTAAAGAATTACGTACATATTGCGTTGATTATAAAATTTCTTTGCATGATAACTAGATTCTGTTCTAGTTGTAATATCTTCATTTTCGTGTTTCACTGAGTAAGTACGATTCGTGGCATCTGAAATTTTTTAAATTTAATTAATATATATATATAAAAGAAAATACAAAATGAAAAAATATCTGTACTAGAAGTTTTTTCATACCTAAGAAAAGGATGAAAACAAATCTGTTTTTTTTTTTTTTTTTGAGTTTCGAATTTTAGATAATATTTCAGCGTTCGATTTATAATGAATCCATCATAAATACTTACACGAAAGCAAACTTTAAAATATATTGTGCTTTTTCAACCTTTAATATCCCAAAGTTTATCAATGAGAATTAATCGTACTTATTATAATGTAAATTAAAAATTAAAATTTACTTTAAAAAACTTACTAATGGAGATTTAGATATCCAGCGCAACATCGCGCGCCGCCACGTAACAGGGAAAGGTAACTGATACATGATTTAATAGATATAAAATATTTTTTTTTAAAAAAAACGCGCAAAAATTGTTGAATTTACTGAATATTTAATTATTTTTTATAATATACTCACGATAAGAATCACGAATGCGATAGACTTGAAGAATAAAAAACAAAGTGTTATTTAAAACAATTTTAAAGCGAAAAGCGAATTACAACTTAAAAAAAAATTAAAATACCTCAATAGCCAACAAAGCGAAAACCAAAGTGTAATAAAGTGTCATTTTGATAAAAGATTTTTACAGAAAAAAATATAATAATAATTGTTGTTGAAAAATTCTAAAGAAAAATAGAAAAAATTGTATAATAGTTGATCAGATCTGTCAAGGTGTTACTGGTCAAACCAAAAAACCAGACCAAACTAAAAGCGTATGATTTTTATATCTTTAAATAGTAGTCAACTGACTGTCATTTTTTTGGGTATTCGTAATAATGATGACATACACGACTAGTTTGAGAATTATTTGAGGGCTATCAGTCACAATTCCATTAATAGTTTGATCGTCATTGAATCAATACAAATAGTTAAATTCACGTTTAACAACCTTTTATGATTTAATAAAATTATTCTGGAAGAAAGTGGATAAAAAGAAACTTGTTAACCAAAAATAATTGAAGACTTTACTAATGAATTTTTTATATGAAGAAAATTATAAATAAAAGAAGAACTTAATAATACTCACAAAGAAAAAAAAATTTCCAATTACATTTTACAGAGGTTGGTGACACAGATATTTATAATAATAGTAAAAAAAAAGAAATTCAACTGACATTAAATACCATGTGTTATTCAAAATTATTACAACAGGTTTCATTAATGCAGGTACCATTTTTATCTATTGGTATATTCTGACCTGTCACATGTTAAAAAATCAAAAAATCAACTGCTTATTGTCTTTATTGTTCTCATACAAAATTCTCATTTAACCTGTGTATGTTGCATATTTAAGTATTGTTTGAGGTTCTGGAGGAATTATCCTGTAAAAGAACCACAAGTTTTGAATTTAAAGAATGTATTTGATGAGATCATATGCAAATTGACATATATAGGTCAAATAAGAAAAAAAATACAATTTCTTTGATAAGTATGACAAGGAATATCTACAAATAGGCAAGAATAATTTGTGAATATCTTGTAATTTGATTTTTCAATGTATAATAATCTATTCTTGTGAGCAACCACACAACTTCTGTACCCTTCTGTAACTTGTTTGTTTCAGTATAATGTGTAAACTAAGTCATTTGAAGTTGACACCATTTCTAATATCTAAGATGAGCTCATATGCTGAAAATACCTGCATAGGTAGAATGACTAATCTATGATATAAAGGCGATTTGTAAAACAGACAAAAACCAGGTTTCTTTTTAACAATTGTACCAAAAATTGGGTGATTTTTTAATCATTCAATGTGAACTCCCAATATTTAAAACATCATAAAGTCACACATCACCTGGTGAATGAAACGCAGTAATTTTATCTTTGTGGTGCCAGTGACAAAGGTGACAAAGAGTACACAAGGAAACACCAAGAGTGAAAGAAGTCTGAGTTGAGTAGCTAAATGAAAAAAAAAAGTCTTTTAATTGCTTATTAAACGCAAAATCGTCTTTACATATTAGTAATCAAATTTTTAATAGTTATGACTAAGCATTGCGTCATGATGGTAAATATTTATTAAAACCCCTTAGTAAAAAGAAATTAATAAAATAGTAAATTAAATCATGATAAACTTGTATTATTTTTCACTAATAATTATTCTTTATTGTAAATATTGTAAATATTGTAAATGAATCTAAAATTAATAAAAAAAAAAAACAAAACTATAAAAAATTCTAATTTCCATCTTATGATTTTAAATCATCTAAAATTTGAATCGGTTAAAATTTAAAAACAAAGAATCAAATCAAAATTTGTGCGAGTAAATTCATCTATACAATGGAACGAGAATCAAATAACTTTGTTAATGGGATATATTCATTTAATGTGTGTACATTCTAATTTGATTCATTAGAAGATCGAAATGATGAGAATATTCAAAAAAAAAATGTAATCTTATATATATATCTAGAATTGTAAAACTATGTAAATAAAAATCTTATGTGTTTACAATTAATAATAATAATAATAATTGAACGTCAAAGAAGACCAAAAGAGAGAGATAAATCAAAAAAAGAAAAAAAAAAAAAAAAAAAAAAAACCAAACTAATTATGATTTGTTAAACTATAGAATTATAAATGTCCATAAGCAATATCAAAAATCGCTTTTGCAATAATAAAAAAACACCAAACGTTAATCATGTAAAAACCTGTCCCCCTTATTAAATATCTAACTCGCGCGTTAACGTCGTATTCTTTGATGTTTTCATCAAAATTTCCGTTCAATTGTTATTTTAATTGATCAATCAATTCGGTTAAACGAACGACCTCCTTTGGGAACTTCATTCAACTTGGGATTATTTTTCGCCAAAATATCTTTACCCATTTTAGCGAAATCGAAATCACATTCGTGCTTTTCTGGAACCTTGTGAGCGTCACAGAAAACGTATTCTAAATAAATAAATTTTTTTTTTTTAAAAAAAAAAAGTTTTAAAAAAAAAGTTTTAAAAAAAAGTTAATAAATTCATTTCAAGAAAATCCTATAAATTTTTCCCTCACCACATCGACATTTATTGATAGTCTGCTTTGCCAAAGGAATCCTGGCTCGACAACGGAAACAACGAGATTGATTGTTCTGAGTGGGTCGAGTGTGTAAATTTTCTTGAGAATCATTTGAGACGAGATTAATTTTTTCAGTGGTTGTTTCTTCAGCTACAGGAATAGAAATAGGAGACTGGGCAGTTTCTTGAAATTCACTTGTAATGTTGGATGCAAGTGTGGATTTGGATGATTGTGTTTCGGAAGGCATGGCGGGTTCTAAGGATTTTTCAACTAAAAAAAAAAAAAAAAAAAAACGAAAATATAAAATTTAATGAATCTTTTACCTTTACGCTAAATCAGAATTGGTAAAAAAAATATTACATACCATTTTGACTATTTTTTACGTTGCATTCTTTGAAACACTTGGAACACATATGGTTGGTCCTTGGGTTTCTGTTTAAGTAAAGTAAAAATTGAGCAGTTGTACATGTTGTAGAGAAAGAAATTAGTGTGAAAAAGTACAAAACCTTCACATAATTAGAGGAAATCTATACATTAGACATGTGCTACAATCTATATTACATTTTTAAGTCTGATCCATTAATACAATATTAATTCATAATCAACCAAATATAATACATACCCATAAAAACTGCAACCATTGACGCAAAAAGCAGGAGGAATATTAGAAGTGTTATTCTCCATTATAGAATTACAGTGAAAAATGATGAGTGTCTATTTTTCAGATGAAAAGCAGAAGATTTATATGTTAAAAACCGTATTTTTGTGAATTTAATAGTTTGAATACTGATAGAAAGAAGTTGCAAGTAGTCAGATGTGATGCCAAGGAGATTATGGAAAGTTTTATAAATCATTTCTCTGGCTTTTTATATTATTATACGTAATAACTTACGTAATTCCTTTCGAGTGTCCTTAATCTGTACCCCCGAGTTATAGATTTCTGTATCTCCTCACCCCAAAATTTTTTTTCGCTACGGCTACGGCTACGTATTCTACCCCCCAAAATCGTATTCTGTCAGACAACATATATTATAAAAATATATATTTTTTTTTATTTCACGTTAATATATTTGAAGATGTTTGAAGAAGAATTGAAATTTATGCGTAATTTGAGCAAACGTCAGGTATTAAAAAACGATTATTTATGAAAAGTTTTAAAACGCTTAATACGGTTAATTCAACAACAACAATAATAATAATTTTAAAATTTCTATTTGTGATAATAGTTTGCTCAACAAGTTTTGAATTTCCTTATGATTGTTTCTTCCGCGTTAATTGTATGGAAAGCTATGGCACTTTATACTAATAGTGAAAGTCCTATTGTAGTTGTATTGAGGTAAAATTACTTAAATGGGTAGAAGTTATATTTGAGTAAAATTAAATCCATAAATTATATTTTAAATCATCATAAAATGTAGTGGAAGTATGGAACCAGCTTTCTATAGAGGTGATTTGTTATTTTTAGGAATGCCCGATGAACCAGTTAAAATTGGAGATATATGTGTTTTCAAAATTCCTGGTAGGGATGTTCCAATTGTACATCGAGTAATAAAAGTTCATGATGAGTAAGTTGAATTTTTTTGAATTCATTATATAAATTTTTTAATTTACTAATCGTGATTAATCGTGATATGAGTTTGTATTTATAAAATAATAGGACAGAAACAGGTAAACAATTCATTCTTACAAAAGGTGATAATAATCAAGTAGATGATCGAGGATTATATGATCATGGTCAAATGTGGATTCATAAAGAACACATAATTGGTAAAGTGAAAGGGTAAGTTAAGTTATCAATTTATAATTAATAAAGATGATTTCAATTTTCATCCTTCAATTATGATTTCCCAATTATGATTTCAATTTATATCTAATTTACATCATCCTCCTTTGTTTACAGATTCTTACCGCATATTGGAATTATAACTATACTTATGAATGATTATCCTTCTTTGAAATATGTTTTGATTGGTGTTCTTGGATTATATGTTTTATTTAGTAGAGAATGAGTAGAGAATGAACAGAGAGACAATTGAGAAACAATTGAAAAAAATGATTCATAATTAAAAATTGTAATTTATATTATAATTTTTCTATTCGTAATATCATTTTGATACTTTTAATAATATTTTTACAAAATTCAAAATAGAATAATCACAAATTAAATAAATTAAATAACTATTGGTTTATTATTATTATTATTATTATTATTTTTATTTTTAATTATTATTTACTAGTTTTGTATGAATCTTCAATGAAATTTGCAAGATCAATATCTCGTTTAGATAATCCTTGACAATCATGTGTTGTGAGAGTAATTTCAACACGATTGTATACCTTTAAAAGACAATGATTATTATGAAAAAATAATAATTAAATAATAATAATAATAATAATAAAAAAGATAAAAGTAATAACGATTCTTACATTAAACCATTCGGGATGATGATCCATCTTTGAAAGTGAAGATTTATTAATAAAATGTTTAAAAATTCACATGATATTCTACAAAGTTTATTTCTTTACCTTTTCAGCTTTCAAAGCTATTTTTGTCATGAAACTAAATGCTTCATTAAAGTTTTTAAATTTAAAAGTTTTCTTTATAGCGTCACGCTCCTGAAGTAATTCCCAAGAATTAGTATTCAATAAAGTGGAAAGTTGACTATCACGTTCTTGTTGATTCAATTTTTGCAACATCTTTGAGCGAATAATACTTGTTGAAAAAAGTGAAAAGTGAAATTGGAAATAATGTAAATTCTTATACATATTAATCACGAGTTTTAAAGGATCATAATGTTTATCACTTAAAATGATGGATAATTCACTTAATTCACTTTTTCCCGAAGGATTAAAAAGTCATTCTCAGTGGAATTTTTTAACCTTTGACCCATTAAAATATATTTACTTTAATGTAGCCTTTATTTTTATTGCTTACCCTTTGTATTGGTTGATAGCAGGATTTTTTAGTTGGGAGTTAGCTAGAAAATCACCTTGTAAACATTTTAGTGATGTATTAGCATGTGTTCGATATGGATTTATTGTGTTCGTACTTGGGGCTTATTCGGTAACATTCAGGTAAAAATTATTCTTATTTTATTCTTATTTTATTCTTATTTATTCTATAAAAAAAGATATTTTTATCAATAATTTTATTTTTCTTTGAAACAAATAAAAGTTGGAATACGGTAATATCATTTTATATAGCAATATTTGGATATGCTCTTTTGGCTGAACTTCCTTTCGCTAGGGAATCATTACCAACTTGGCGTAATTGGAAAATCAAAATGTGGATATTATTTATAACCGCAATATTTATAATATTAATAATGACCAAATATCACATATATTTAGCAATTAAATTTCAAAAACCAAATAATAGTAAATTCTTGTGGTGGTATCTTGGAAGTTTAACAATACCAATAATATTAATTTTAATGGGAATTTTAGTAACCAAAGAACATAATGATAGAATATTAACAAAAAAATATATAAAGATTAAAAAGATTATAAAGATTATAAATATATTTAAGAAATCTAATAATGAGATTAATATAAGAACTGAACTCATTTCATCTGAACCACGACCATATTTAAGTAAAACACGAATTCATATACATCATTGGCAAATATTTTATGTCTTGGCTTTTTTCACAAGATTTAATCATCCTATTTCTCAAATTGGAGGTGGAATTGTATTAGGTATTTATTCTCAGGGTATGATTGCGTAAGTTTTATTTTGTTTTTTATTTTTATTTTTTTGTATTTATTTATTGATTATTATCATTATTTATTATTATTATTATTTATTATTATTATTTTAAGGTATGGTCCAGATAATTATTTAATAGAAAACTGAAATTTGATTAATTCATTTATTTAATTTTTATTTAATTCATCATTTATTTATTTCAAAGAAATTCTGTATTACAATATTTTTTATTTATTATTTTATTATTTTATTTTATACATATTATTTATTTGTAAATTTAATCTATAACTAGTTATACATAAAAAAAAAAAAAAAAAGAGAGAGAAATAGTTTGTTAGTAAACATACCAGGTGTTCTCAATTTTTAAAAAGTGAAGAAATTTTTTTTTTTTAATAATTATGACAAGAAACAAAGTGTAAGTAATCATAAAATCTACATTGAACAATCTATTATAATTTAGAATGTATTTATTTCATTTTTGTACCATTACGCGGGGGGATGTTTTTCCATGAACTATGGAAAGAGAAGAAATACACATCAAGATGCAAATTGCTCATCAACTTAAAAATATTCGTATTATTTTAATCTTTAATACTTACGACCTCACGATCACATGACATCTACGGTAATAAATTAATTTGTCATTTGCAAATACTTTTTTTTTTCTTAACTTTGATCAAAATAGTTGTAAGATCTTTATCTTTATTATTGTATAAATTTGTTCACCATATGGTTTTTCCCAACCGTCAATACCACATAGTGGTAACATTGATCCGGAACGACAAGGAATATATGGTGGCCTTTATCTATACACCGAACAACCTCAAGAGGATGCTCAAGGTGATAGAATAAAGATTTTTTAAATGGTCTGTTGACTGGAACTATACACTACTGAAATAATATAAATTGTGCTTCCTTATGTCAAATGGTAAATTTCAAATTTCTAAAAGAAAAATAAAAGTTTACACCAAACCATCTAAAGAGATTTTTTTTTTGATTTTTTTTTTTGCCTTTTATATTTTTTATTCCTTATGGGAAATACTATTGGCTTATACAATGTACCACAAAATAAATAATTTATTTAGCCAATAAAAATATTAATAACGTGGATTATGTATTTTTATATGATTAAAGTAATAAAAAAACAAATGTTACGACAAATATATTTTTTTTAATCAACCTTCCATAATAAATATATGTACAATAAAATAAAATAAAATATAATATATATGTCGTGATTTATTATCGATTGGCTGATTTATCTACTGCCATTAAACTTCCAACAAATGTCAAGATCTGTAGAAGTGGATAATTTTAGATTTGATGAATAACATAATTTAAAAAAATTTATTATTTAAAAAAATTATTATTAAAAATTGTTTATTTAAACTTACCAATCGAGGACGAACTTCAACAATGTCTTCTGGTAATAAGAAAATAGTAGCTCCAATTTTTCGTGCAATGGAAATGGCATATCGAGCATTTAGTGTGGCATCATCATCTATTAATTTAAAATTTTATATTATATATACATTAATAAATTCACTATAATAAGAAAAAATTCAGTTCTAAAAATCTTACCAGAAACTCCTCTTGTTACCAAACTATAATCTACTACTCCTGGCCTAATACCATTTAGTAAGTCAATTAAAAAAAGACCATTTCTCAAAGATTGATCTTTAAAGCTTCTCATCTTTGTGGATTTCCCACCACGGCTAACAGTATCATTTGCCCATTTGACCATATCTTCGTCAGTAATCTCACGACCTCCTTTAGATAAACTTGTAAGTGTTTGAATAATATTTATGCGCATCATTTGCCATACAAGTCCAAGAACTAAGGTCTTTGTGCCATCACAAATATCGGCACCTTGAATATTAACAAGTGTGAACCGTAATAACTTTCCCAATGTAATAGCATAATTTGTATTCTCCACTTGTTTAAATCGTGATAAATTTCCTGACTTGTTTACTTTCTTCCAATTTACAGTACCAGGTTTGATTTTATCCAAAGTTTGAAGAATAATAAGTCCATCCTATAAACAAATTAATTATATTTGTATATCATATTTTAATATAATTTCAAATCATTTTTTTTATTTCCAAAAAATTCAAACCTTTAAATCTTCATATAAATTATTGACAGCTGGTGTGACATCCAAACTATTCATCCAAAGAGCAAATACTACATTGAGATAAATAAATAAATAAATAATAAATAAATATTTTTCATTATTTCAAATAAAATCATCATCACCACATTTATTAATAATGAACCAAAATACCTCTTGCTTCTCTGTCATCTGAATCATCGAATTCTTCAAGTTCTGCTTTTTCTTCTTCGCCAAGTGGGTCAAGACAAGGATGTGTATTAAATAAATGAGCAACGAAAGCCAAATTTAATTTGGGATTCCCAGCGACAAGTGCTTTGGGAGTCAAATACTTGCGACAACCCAATTTCTCAGCATTTTGAAGAACCTTGTTTTGGAATACAAAATTTGGGATAACAAAACATGAAATTAGATTAAAAATTAGATTGACATCGGATTGAAATCGAATTGACATTGATACTGTATTAGTAAATACCTTTTCGGCACGTTCTAAAAGATCGGGTTCTCTTAAGGGATCGCGTGAACAGAGGTCAGGAGAGAGTTGGTTAAGAAGAACGGTGTAATTTTCACCATCCTTTACATCTTTACTAAAATTATCGACCCTATAACAATAAAAAATAATGAATAATTATTTCAATAAAATAAAATATAATAATACTATAATAATGTTAACAATTAGAAATGAAAATCATACCTGCGATTCCAATTAGCTGCCTTTAAATGATAATTAAACCATCTCAATAAAATTTGATCTGGTGGTAATTTTAAAAATTGATCAAGTGTTTCATCCTCTTCAAGAAGACGATATAACTCGGGATGTAGTTTAATGTCAATTTTGTTTAATAACCCAATTTTAATAATTTGCCAAATTAAACCTAGAATTAAATGTTCTCGACCTTCAATCAAATCTGCTGATCCAATATTAACTACATTACAACCTATCCCTTTAGCGGAGAAAATAACCAGATTATTATTTTCTGTCATTTGAAATTTATTAATTGGTTTTCCTCGGACGGGAACATTGAGAACTCTTTCGTCAATTGTGTCAGGTACAGAATCATTAATTAATTTTCCAAGAATTAAACCATCTATTATTATTATTATTTATTATTTATTTATTTTTTTTTTTTTTTAAAAAAAAAAAAAAAATCCAGTTAATATGATTATTAAAAATAATTTGTAATTCAAAAAAAAAAAAATGTAATTTAACCTTTGCATTCATCAAATAATTGCATAGTATTTGTATCGATTGGAACTTTGTCTTTAACATTTGGATCGTCGGCCAATGCCTGGTTTATATGCCTGGTAAATTCTGTTCTTTCGTCTTCATTGATAGTATGTGAAACGTTGCTACTAGATCCTTGAACAGTGATCTTATGTTTATTAACTTCAAAAGCATGTTTGTGACGTCCTTCTCGAAGTTTTGCTATGAGCTATTAAATGGAGAAAGTAAATTTATAAATATTATGTTTAATTATTTTGATGAGAAAAAGAATACATTACCTCAACAAATTCTTCCAACTCGACTTTACCCGTGGAACTCAAACTAATTCCTTTCAATGCAGCACGAATTTCGTCGTATGAATTTTTCTCATCCATATTTTGCAAAGCCTTGACAATTTCCTTTTGTTCAATGGCGCCATTACCGTCAAGATCTATTTTACTAATTTCGTTATAGAACAACAATTACACAAAATGTAAAAAAAAAAATTGAACGAGAATTTATAGAGTAAAATTGAAATATACTTGAATTTCGCAGAAAGATCAAAAATTTCTTGTTGTGAAAATTGAGGGAACTTCTTTGCTAATTGCATAACATTCATGATTTTTGTATGTTTCGATAATAACTTTTTTTAACAATTCAATTCAAAGAAGATGGATGCCACCTTTTATAGTAATTCCTGTAACACAATTTCATAAATTATATTAATAAAATTCTTGGAATGGCCAAGAATTATCTATGGTTTTTATTTCGCGTAAAGAGATATTCAGAAATGGTTAAAATAGTTTCTTGAATGGCCAAGGATTACTTATATTTATATAATTCTCATTCAAGGAATAGGTTCTGGAAAAATGGGAGAAATGAGTTCAATAGTTTGGCACTCTTGGAAACACAAGACTTCAGACAAATTATTTCTTCTGTATTTAATTTAAAAAGAAAGTGTGAAGCGCAGGATTATACTGTTTTATTTATTTTATTTATAGATAAAAAGAATATTTAGTTTTACTTTTTTATACAGGTTTAAAAGAAAAATTATTTAATACAAAATTATTTTCAATTGGATTCTTTAATAATTTTTTTTTTTTTTTTTGAACTTGAAAATTGGAATGAAAAAGTTAAAATACACTTTGTGTATTAATTGAAATTCTTACCCCCCCTGTATATTGGTAAATCAATACTTGATACACACTTTAATCAAATTAAGAAGTTGTTCAATGATCTTTTCCCATGTAATCCTTAATGCTAAATTTAAAAATTTCATAATTGGAAGTTTTTAAGGTTTCTTGTAGCGAAAGTAAAAAAAAATACACTCATTTATTAAAACACATAGTTTACATCATGGGCTTATGTTTGTCTGCTGAAGAAAAAGAATCACGGTTACGGAGTTACCAGATTGACAAACAGATTGAAGAAGACAGCAAAAGATTTAAGAAAGAATGTAAAATTCTTCTGCTAGGTAGTTATTTATTCGTTTCTTAACTTTACTTTTGTAAATCTTGAAGGAAGGGTCTTTGCAATCCTGTTTGTTCAATTTTCTCCGTAGGTTTTTTTTTGGTGATAAACTGTAGCATTTAATTGCACATTATCATTTTGCAGGGTCAGGAGAATCTGGAAAATCGACAATAGTTAAACAGATGAAAATAATACATCAAAACGGTTATACTAAGGACGAGTTGGCACTATATCGAATAACAGTATATAAAAACCTTGTTGACTCCGCACAAGCCATTATTTATGCTATGAGAAAATTACGACTGGAACCTCGAAGGTCGGTGAATAAAGTAAGTCAAATAATAAATCGTTGAGAAAGGAAAGTGTGAATAAATTTTACTGAAAAAGAAAAAAAAAAAAATTAATTTTAATTTTAATAGGCTATGACCGAAAAAATTTTGGATTATTATGTCGAATCCGACCCATCTTTCCAATTAAGCCCAGAAATGGTAGAAGCTATTGATTCTGTGTGGCGTGATCCAATAATATCGGAGCTTATGGAAAAACAAAATCATTTCTATTTAATGGATTCGGCGCCCTAGTGAGTTTTAAATATTTTATAATATTAGATATTAGATATTAGAAATTAGATATTAGATATTAATTATTACTATGTATCGTCAGTTTTTTTGCAGCAGTAAAACGAATTGGGGCACCGGGATACATTCCCGATGAAGCAGATGTTCTTCGAGCGAGAACCAAAACCACGGGTATATCAGAAACAAGATTTAATATGGGACAACTAAGCATACAGTATGTTATAACGTCAAATAGAATTACACTAATTTAAAGAAATTTAATTAAATTCGGTGATATTAAATTATATAAACACATACATATATATCTGTTAGTATGTTTGATGTAGGTGGTCAAAGGTCAGAACGAAAAAAGTGGATTCATTGTTTTGAAGCTGTAACATCTATTATCTTTTGTGTCGCACTCAGTGAATATGACCAAGTTTTATTGGAGGAATCAGGCCAGGTATTTTGGTAGAAGTGTTTTTTTTTTTTTTTAATAGTAAAACTTGACAACGCTTTGCAAACTTTACAACTCTTCACAACTCTTTACAACCCTTTACAACCCTTTACAACCCTTTACAAGGAATAATAACAGATAAATTATTTTTATATTATTTATATATGCTTATAGAATAGGATGGCAGAAAGTCTTATATTATTTGAATCAGTAATCAATAGTCGATGGTTTTTACGAACGTCGATTATTTTATTCCTCAATAAAATTGATTTATTCCGAGCAAAATTACCTCGAGTACATCTTGAACAATATTTTCCCGATTATTCCGGTACATAATAATAAATAATTTTAATATTTATATATTTTATAATTAATATATATTTTATATATTCTTAATATTTATATATTTATATTAATATAATATTATAATGTTTAATGTTTAAATATAATTAATATATCTTAATTTTTAATGTTTATGTTTAAATTTAATTCATATATAATTTTAATGTTTAAAATATAATTAATCTAATTAATCTATAATTCTTAATATAATTCTTAATATAATTCTTAATATAATTAATTTATAGGCGGATCAGATATTAACAAAGCTGCTAAATATATATTATGGAGGTTCACACAAACTAATAGAGCACGACTAAATATATATCCTCAGTGAGTATTAATTTACTGTGAAAACGTGAAAATCTTTAAATAATTAATGAGAATTAAAATTATCATCCATTATAAAATAAATAGTCTCACACAAGCTACAGACACATCAAATGTAAGTAATGTTTGTATTTTACTTTAAATGTACAGTTTATTATATTATAAATATACATTTTTATTGATTTACTTTTTTTTTTTTTATTTCTGTGTGATTTCATAAAGATACGGTTAGTTTTATATATATAATTAATTATTTATTTATTTATATATATATATATATTGGATTTCTTTTTCATATATTTTTTGTTGTTGTGTAATTTTTTTTTTGATAATTTTGAGTAAAATTTTTTTTATTGATTTAAAAATTCAAATTTGATTAATTTAGGCTTGTTTTTGCCGCCGTAAAGGAAACAATCTTACAGAATGCTCTCCGAGATAGTGGTATCCTATGAAGCTTTTACATTATTACTGTATTTTTTTTGCCTTGCATTTTTTATTTCTCTTATTTTTGTAATATGATATATATTGTATATTGTTCATTTAATTTGTGGGATGGTGGCGTTATTATAATAAAGCCTATGTGCTACATTAATGATCATGGCATTTTATCATTCAGGAAGAATTGCACACAGAGACTTTTATTGATATTGATTTCCTTCTAAATTTTTTTATTTGTAAGTTAGAAATTTTTTGATCTTATCTACTTATCAAAATAAATGTTTGGGATAAAAAAAAAATCACGATTTTGTTATTCTTGTTTAATCTTGTTTATTCTTGTTATTCTTGTAATTCTTCCTTACTTTAAATGTCAAAGTATCACTAAAAATAGTAATCAACAGTATTACTCAAAAATGTCAATTCAAAAAATGTACACATTATAAAGTTCAAGATGATCTTTGAAATTATCAAATTGTTATCTTATTAATTGATGACATCAGCAATAGAACGTGTACTTTATTACAGTACATTATAGTACTACGTTACTTTCTATAAAATACAAAATTTATCTTACCCTTTTTTAATTTATTGGACACTTTTCCTGTTGTTCATAGAACGTTCTCTTTTGACACGTCTTTTATATCAAGACATTTTTACGTTAAAGTTTCGTTTTCCTGTTACTGTCCGTTCAACTAGGACTTATATTTTTCTCGTGACGTAAGCAATCTGTTGCACTATGGCGAATACTTTAGAGGTTTATGGAAAAGGAACGTCAGTATGGTTTCCTGATGAACATGAGGGATGGAAAAGTGCTCAACTAGTTTCAAAAGAAGAAACTGGTGGCAACGTTAAATTAACTTTCTTATCCGAAAATGGGAAGGTAGTTTTCATAATCTCATCACTACGCAATTCACTTGATTTATGAACTATACATCTTTCACTGTATTGTTTTCACTTTTTTCATTTTTTTCATTTTTTCATTTTTTTTTTATTTTTTATTTTTTTTGTTATATTTCAAATTTTAATTGTAATTCAAATTGGATATTTTTATTATTTTTTTTTTTTTAATCATAAAAATAAAGCAAAATAAATTAATCAACCAAATTTTTCATAATTGTTATTTAAAATGGATTTTATTTATTATATCTTCTCAAACATTTGTGTTATTATAATACCTCTCTCAAATATTTGTGTTTTTTGTACTTATTAGGAGATTGTGATTGCAACCACTATTGATAAACTTCAAAAATCAAATCATGCTGAATTACCTCCTCTACGTAATCCTCCTCTACTTGAAGCATCTGACGATTTAACAAGTTTAAGTTACCTTAATGAACCAGCAGGTTGTTATTATGTCATATTTTTCATTTAGATCGGAACAGATCAAATTCTTTTTGAATACATCGATAGATATTAACTTAATTTATCATCAGTTCTTCACACAATTAAAACGCGGTATTTGCAGCATAATATATATACCTATTCCGGAATAGTCCTTATCGCCGCGAATCCATTTTCCCCCGTTTCTTTATATTCTCAAGACATCATAAATGCTTATTCTGGCAAACGTCGAGGTGAATTAGAGCCACACGTATTCGCTATAGCCGAAGATGCCTATAGATGTATGCTTAGAGAAAAAAATAATCAAACTATTGTTGTTTCGGGAGAAAGGTAATTTAATTAAAAAAAAATAAAATAAAATTAATTCTTTGTAATGATTATAATAATCTTAATCTTCAATTCATTTTTAAATTCATTCATTCTTATATTATTATGTTTGTAGTGGAGCCGGAAAAACTGCTAGTGCAAAATTTATTATGCGATATTTTGCTTCTGTTGATGATAAAGAAAAACCACTAAATTCAAAAAAGGCAGTTGCTAATTCTGGAATGAGTGAAGTAGAAGAACAAATTATGGGTATGTCTTACAAAAAATTATTAATTACGAAATATGAAGTAATTATTCGTATACAAAAAAAAAAAAATTATGGAATTTTTCTTTTTATATTTGGATTTCTAAATTATTATTATTATCATTGCAGCTACTAATCCTATAATGGAATCTTTCGGGAATGCGAAAACAACAAGAAATGATAATAGTTCTAGATTTGGAAAATATCTTGAGGTATAGATTAAACGTTTTAGGTTAATTCGAATTGTCAATATAACCATTTTAATTTTAACCAACAATAATTCATCTTTCTTTATTTTTTATTTTTTATTTTTTTTAGATTCAATTTGATAAGGATCAAAATATTATTGGTGCCAAAATTAGAACTTATTTATTAGAACGTTCAAGATTAGTTTATCAACCTGAAAATGAAAGGAATTATCATATTTTTTATCAGGTATCATTTATTAAATAAATTTTACCTTTTTTTTTAAAAAAAAAAAAAAAAATTGTAAATATCACTGCATTTATTCGCTTTTTATTAGTTATGTGCTGGTGCTCCTCCTTCAGAAAAGAAATCCCTTGAACTTGATGAAGATTATCGAAAATTTTATTATCTACGACAAGGAGGTGTAGGAACAATACCAGGTGTCAATGATGCGCAAGAGTTTGAACTTACACGAAAAGCCTTATCTACAATAGGAATTGAAATTCAGGTTCAATGGCATATTTTCAGAATTTGTGCTGCTCTTTTGCACATCGGAAATATAAAAATTACGGCAACTAGGAACGGGTCGATAATTTCGGAATCTGACCCATCTTTAATAACTGCAACGAAATTACTTGGAATAAATTTGTCTGATTTTAGACAATGGATAGTTAAAAAACGAATTGTAGTGGGTAGAGAAAAAATTGTTACAGAGTTGGATATGGCATCTGCTACTGTCGTCAGGGACTCGGTCGCAAAGTACATTTATGCAAATCTATTTGATTGGTTGGTTAGTGTGACAAATGAAAGTTTATCGGGAGAAGAAATTACGAGGAATACACAGAATTTCATTGGCGTTCTTGATATTTATGGTTTTGAACACTTTAAGAAGAATTCTTTTGAACAATTTTGTATCAATTACGCAAACGAAAAATTGCAACAACAGGTATGTTAAAATTAATGTTATATCTATATTTATATATTTTTATTATTTATTTCTTAAAATTTTCATAACTTTTGGATTTTGACCGATTACTTTTACAGTTTAATCAACATGTTTTCAAATTGGAGCAAGAGGTTTGTGATCTGATCTTGTTAATTTTTTTTTTTTTTTTTTTTTGTGATTGCATTCCATTAATTTTATTAATTTAATTTTATATTTCATGTATTAGGAATATGTTCGTGAAAAAATCAATTGGACCTTCATTGACTTCAGTGATAATCAACCCTGCATAGATTTAATTGAAGGCAAATTAGGAATTCTTTCTATTTTGGATGAGGTAGGTTAACTTAAGTTTGATTCTTTTTTTTGGTAGTTTTATGAAATTCGTAAAACAAAAAGATTAAAGACTTGTTTTCTAATAGGAAAGTCGTCGTCCTGGTAGTACAGATGAAACCTGGTGTAATAAGCTTTATGATAATTTCAATAAACAAGATTATAAGCAATTTTTCAAAAAACCAAGATTTTCAAATGTGGCATTTACTATTTCTCATTATGCGCATGATGTTACTTATGAGGTAGAAAATTTCTTGGAAAAAAACAAGGACACTGTACCCGAAGAGCATTTAACTCTATTGAGAAACACCGAATTTGAATTTTTGGATGAAATTTTAAATAAAGTTCCTCAAGCAGCATCACCTACGACCAAGGTAATATTATATTGGATTCATAGATTTAATTGTATCTTATTATTTTTTTAATAAATAATTTATGTATATTTATACAGTCCGACTCAAAACGTGCGAGTATGTCCGTGAAGAAACCTACTTTAGGGTCAATATTCAAAGTGAGTACTTAGAACTTTTTCATATTTGTTTTTTTAAGAAAATCATTATGAAAGCTTGAAATGAAAGCTTTCTAATGATATTAGGCACACTTTAGTAGAAATTGCGTGAAATCAATTTGAAGTAAAAAAAAAATAAAATTAATTATCTCTATAATTAGTGTAAATATGAAAATTCTTTTTTATGAATATTCTAATTAAATAATTTTTTCTTTATAAGGTATCTTTGATTAATCTCATGGAAACCATTAATTCAACCAATGTCCATTACATTCGATGTATAAAACCAAATGAAGTCAAAATCGCATGGGTGTTTGAACCCCAAATGGTTCTTGGCCAACTTCGTGCCTGTGGTGTTTTGGAAACTATCAGAATTAGTTGTGCTGGATATCCGTCCCGTTGGACTTTTGATGAATTTGTTCAAAGGTATTATTTAATTATCTTTTAATAATTAATTCATTATTACTATTATTATTATTATCGATTTTTTATTTTATTTTTCAATTAATTAATTCTTCTAACCTTCGAATTAGATATTACATGCTTGTTCTTTCAACATACTGGAGTCCAGATTCTAAAAAATTGTGCACAATCATCTTAGATGCGTCAATTAAACTACCTGACAAATACCAAATTGGAACTACAAAAATCTTTTTCCGTGCTGGGATGGTAAGTTTTTTTTAATTTACTTTACTTTAATAACATTATATTAATTATATTCTAATTATTTTTATAGCTTGCTTACCTAGAAAAACTCCGTCTTGACAGATTAAACGAATGTGTAACTTTAATGCAAAAGAATATGCTCAGGCATATGTATCAAAAGCGATGGGCAATTATTAAATCATCTACCGTTAAAGTTCAAAACTTAATCAGAAGTCGCCAAGCTAAACGACGACTTAAACGACTTCGCGAGAATAATGCCGCTGTTACAATTCAAAAATATTGGAGAGGATATATTCAACAGAAAAAATACAATAAAGATAAAAAATCCGTTTATAAAATACAACTTGGTAAATACTCTACGATCTTTTATTATGTGATTTTGATTCCATTAAATGTTATCTAATTATGATTACAGCTGTTCGTAGTGTTATTGCAAGAAATAAATTCCAAATTCTTCGAAGGAATGCTGCTGCGATCAAAATCCAGTCCGTATATCGTGGATGGTATGTTAATTATTTTATAAGATTCACCAATAATGTATTTTTGGTATTATGGTTAAACTTTCCTGTTTCTTCTCTTGCAAATTTAGGCTTGTTCGTAAAGAATATAAGAAGACATTAAAACTTATTGTATTTATGCAATCATGTCTCCGTCGTCGTTTGGCAAGAGCTGAACTCAAGAAATTAAAGATGGAAGCCCGATCCGTCAGTCACTTCCAAGAGAAGTCATATAAACTTGAAAAAATGATTATCGAGCTCACCCAAAACTTTGAACGGGAAACTCAAGAAAATAAATTATTAAAAGAGAAAATTTCGACGTTGGAAACACATATCAAATCTTGGTCCGAAAAAAACGGAATATTGGAGGCAGAAAACAAACAAATTAAAAATGAAGCCAAAACTTCTACTGCCTCTACTGATGAACTCAACAACCTGCGTAAGGAGAAAGAGACACTCGAATCACGTTACCGAAGTTCTCTCGAAAGTATCAAGAAGCAGGATACTGAAATCCAGAATCTTGTAGCTGAAGTCAGTAAGAAAGATGACGAAATTTCCAGACTTCGTGCAAGTGCAGCCAAATGGAAAGGTGCAGAAGATCCTGCTAATGTTCTTCAGTTGAAACAAGAAATTATTACACTTAAAGAACAATTGACAAAAACTATGAGTAGTTCAAGTAACGCCACACCTCCAACTTCACATCGCCAAGTCCAAGAAAATGGATACTTAACAACAAAAAATCAAGCTACCCTTAAGCCACCAGCTCCAAAACGAAAACCCCGAAGGCACAGTTCTGTAGAATCTTGGGGACCGAATGAAGTTGTTAAACGTAAACCTAAAACATCGATGGATTTAGTCATGGCAGAGGCGAAATCTAAGCCTGGTGTATTAAGACCAGCTTCAGCTTCATATGTTCAGAATATTCCTAAAATTATTCGAGCGCCAGGAGGAAGAATTTTACCAGGAGTAGATGAACCTGAAGAGGAGGTAATTAAAATATTTTATTTAATTGTTTATATATTTTTAAACTTAACAAATGATATAAATAATCTGTTTATTTTGTTCTTTCAATAGATTATGAAAATACTTGAGGATGATGATTCTTTAGACGATGAAGTTATCAATAGATTGATTAAAGATTTGAAGATACCACTTCCAAGTCTGCAAAACCCTCCATCTGCAAAAGAAATATTATTCCCATCTCGTCTGATTAGTCTTTTGGCAAGACAAATGTGGAGATTTGGATTCATAAAAGAATCCGAAAGATTGTTTGCAAATGTCATGAAAACTATTCAAGAACATGTCATGGTATGTTAATTATCAAAGTGTGTCTATTTATTTAATTAAGATTTTAAACTGAATCCATTTTAAAAAAATTTCAGGAATTTGAAGGTGATGATGCAGTTCTTCCGGGAGCATTTTGGCTCTCTAATGTACATGAATTGTTATCATTTTCCAATTCCGCAGAAAAAGACATGCTTCGTGGAGTAAATCCTGCAGCAGATTCCAGTGGTAAAAACTTTGAGTGGCGCGATTATGAAAGACTTGTATCCATTGTTAAACATGATCTAGAAAGTTTGGAATACAATATATACCATACTTGGATGAAAGAACTTAAGAAACGATTGTACAAGATGGTTATTCCATCAGTAATAGAAAGTCAATCATTACCAGGTTTTATAACCAATGAAAGTAATCGGTTTATTGCCAAATTTATAACTGGCCCCACAACCCCGGCATTTAGTATGGATGATCTTCTCAATTTCTTGAATAAAGTCTGGAAAGCCATGAAATCTTATTATGTAGAAATGTCAGTAATTCAACAAGTAATTACGGAATTGTTAAAGCTTATTGGTGTTACATCTTTCAACGATTTATTAATGAGGTATTGATATCAAAGAAGTGTTCAATAATTTTTTTTTAATATAAGTTTCAATTATTTGATTATTAATTACATCATTACATCTATTTTAGACGTAATTTCTGTTCATGGAAACGAGGTATGGAGAAAATTTTCAATTTTTATTTATTATTTATTTATTATTAAAAAAAAAAAAAAAAAGAGATAAAGATTAATTTTGGGAATACTTGAAACATATATAGCAATGCAAATTCAATATAACATGACAAGAATTGAAGAATGGTGTAAGAGCCATGAGATGCCTGAAGGCACACTTCAACTAGAACATTTAATGCAAGCTACAAAACTTTTGCAACTCAAAAAGGTATTTTGGAAATATATTTTTTATGATTTTTAAATTATTCACGAATTTATTTCATAAAAATATTTTTAATATTTTCTTAATGCTAAATTTTCAATAAACAGGCAACTCTGGGAGATATTGAAATTATTTACGATGTTTGTTGGTTATTGACTCCTACACAAATTCAAAAACTTATAAGTCATTATTTCGTTGCAGATTATGAGGTAATATTTAGAATTTAAAAATATAATAATAGAAAGTTACAAAATTTATACAATTTATTTACGATTTATATCTAATTTATACAGAATCCAATTAGTCCCGAAATACTGAAAGCAGTCGCAAGTAGAGTTTCTGCTTCAAATAATAAAAGTGATTCGTTATTGCTTGACACAACTCCGTTGGAAGATTCGGGTCCATTTGAAGTTCCTCTTCCACGTGAAGTACATCCACCAGAAAATTATGTTCCATCTTGGTACGATTCGTTTTATATTCTTACATAGTTGATCTCTTGAAAATGTATATTTTTTAACCTTATATATGTAAATTGTGTAAATATTTGGTAATAATAGGTTGAATTTAATACATATCAAGCGTCTTGGATCCCTTGCCGTTTAGTTGAAATGGTTGAAATAAATGTAAAGTCAACTCGTTTCACTACTTTACATGGATTGATTATAATTTATTCATTAACAATTTTTATGAATTTGTAAAATAAGCTGGATATTTAAAATTATGTAAACTTAGTCACGTTATTTATATATTATTCTATGACATAATTTTACAGATAATTCATTATTGTTTAGAATATATAGATATTTAAAAAATTGGTTGGGTAGTTATTAATATGTAACATGTGTATTTTTTCCCCCTATATTTATATATATAATATTAACAATCTTTGTTAGAATTTTTAAATATTAATCATTATTGTGTTTTCTAAATTCTAACAATAAGACTTGTAGTGAAAAAAAAAAATAATAAAAATAGTTAAACTCTAACTACTGGATGGATTGTAATACATTAATAATAGGTTTAAAGATTTCATTTATTTCAATATTTTCTTGTTTTTAAAAGAAACTCAATTTTAATAATAATTATCAAAATAAAAGAATACATATTGTAAAAAAAACATATTGATAAATCATGTAATCCTGAAATTCAAGATATTTGATTTTAGTTTAAATTACTGAAATTCAAGATATTTGTTTTTTGTACAATTTAGATGAAATGTTTGTTGATAAGTTATATCATGCAAATAATAATATAATAATAATTAATAATAATAAATTCAAGATATTTGTTTTTATTTAATTAATATTCATTTTTTGTGCAAATTACTTTATTATTTAGATGATTTAGATGATAATAACTGGACTGGAAAGTTTGTTAATAAAAGAAGCAGTTTTTTGATATGCAATTTCAAACTTTTATACTAGAACTCATCTTTATGATATCTCTTCTTTTTTTTTTTCTAAATTAACTTCTAAAATGTTAATCATATCTCCACCCATGAGCTCCAACCATCTCTACCACTTTGCCTTTAATTAGGAACTTGAAAGGGAGAAAAAATTAAAGAAAATATTCTGATAATGAAATATTAGGATATAAATATCATAGAATGTTATACAAACCAGAAAAGGAAATCGTTAAATTTGATATAAATTCCAGAACTAATCGAACACACGCCTTTTCATGATTTTTCATTTATATTAAGATCCGTTTCAGTATTCGAAACTTATTACAAAGAATTGTCAGGCGTCAATGAATCATCTGTGGAATTTGATTTCGAAGCCTTTTCTATTTATTTGTCTTATTTCGTTATTAACTCCAAGTCAGTTGATTATTTATCTGAACCTGAACAAACGCGAATTTTTTATTTCTGGTCAACCTTCCTGTGTGGTGTAATCCTTTTTTCTGGCCTCATTTTTAATCTATTTTCGTTAGATTCTTTCTTTACCATCTGTTTTGGTATTAAAAATTATTAAAATGGCTATATTATAAGTGGCAATAAAATTAAGTTAAATTATATATTCGTTTTATGCTTTTCTATATACTTTAACAAGCTAAAATGCATATTATTTAATTAAATCTAACCGTGAAAATTTTATATATCAAGGGATAATTAGGACAGAAAAAATTATATATCAGGAACTCATTCTAAAGTTATTTTAACGTTAAAAATCCTCTTTAACTAGAGCTTCTAAATCATTAAAAATAAACATGATTTAAAATTATTCAAAATAGCTTTGATCAAGTTCTTGATATAAAAAATTATCTAACCAAAAATTAGGACAGAAAATTATATATCAAGAATTCTTTCTACGGTTATTTTAACATTAAAAATCCTATTTATCTAGAGCTAGAACAACAAAAACTAATGTGAAATACAATAATTCTAATTAATGCGCAATCTATGATAAAATTGAGATACATAATACCCTCTAATATGTGATAAGAAATAATTACCCAAAGAAAAGATTTTGTATATAGAATGTAACCTGTATATAATACAAATTCATTGTCTTACTTTTCCGACTTTGGATGGGTGTATAGATTAAAACTGGTGAAAATCATGCATCAGTTGAAGAAGGTATCACTCAAGAGGACATGTTGAACTCAGTTATAGAAACCTCCAATATCTTTAGAGAAGTTGAATTCCCAGGGTATTACGATAAGCTCAAAAAAATATGGAGTATCCGTGAAGCGGGATCAAATTATTTTGTAATTGACCTGAAAAATAAAGAAGTTTTAAAGGAGGTACATAATCTTTTAGGTGATGAAGAATTAAAATCGTTATTTGATAGATTGACTTTGGAAGGCGAAAACAATATATAAGTATGAAGGCACTCGAATATATGACATTATTTGATAAAATCATAGACGATTACTTAAGGGATGATGATGATGACATAGTTGAGAAAAAATTTATCGAAATCAAAGACGAAGCCATTTCCAAGATGGAAAAAGTGGTCTATAGTTTGGACGGATTGACAAAAAGATTCAATTACCTATCTCACACTCTTCCTATCCCAGCGGAACAATATGAAGGATTTTTATACCCTGATATTCATATTATTAGAAGCATTTCGAGTCACCTAAGTACAATTATAAGGATGGATGGAATTGTCAAAAATATAACCGAAAGGTCATGGACTGCGCATATGTTAGCATATATGTTTTTTATAACATTTAGTCATATTACCTCTATAAGATATTTTTCTTGTGAACGTACAATTTCTACGAAAATGGATTCTCAAACCATAGATTATAGGGCAGATGGCCAAAACAAATCCCCTTATTCGTACTTGAGGTCTCTGGTGAACCTAGTAATCCGGATCCTGATAAATTTAAAGATGATAGACAAAAGTTAATGAAAGAAGGTGTATTTGCGCTAAATAAATTCATTATTAGAACTGGTCTTCCAACATATGAGGTTTGTAAAACTTTGGGAGTTTTTCTTGCTCATGATTTGGTAAGTTATTTCAAATGTTTTAAGTATAATGCATTCTTTATTTTTTTAGCATTAACATATTATATCTTTCAGAAGATGACCTTGAGATCGGACAAATAATTTACATTGGACCCGGTTTATATTTATTTTCACCCTTTACGGATCCAAATCTTATCATTCCGACTTCTCCCTACAATGATATATCATAAATCCAACATCGAAGTATACTACTGGATTTACACCCAATCGGCCGCAAATTGTGACGTTTTCCAAATTTCTGCCCAAGGAAGAGACGTCTGGCAAGGTGGATAAGAATGAACAGGATAATGTGACTAGAGGAAGATGAAGGGGTCGCGGAAGAGGGAGAGGTCGTGGTTCATAGTTTTACATATATCACCTTTGAGCAAATCGAAAATTTTTTTATATAAACAAATTGTTGTATTATGTGCTATATTAAAAAATAAAATTGAAATGTCATTTCAGAATCAAATTTACTGTTTGCATATTCCACGTAACATATTACATATACAATTGTTTTGAGTTTATTCAATGAGACCCAATTCTCGAAGATGTTCTGGAATAACTATATTTGGATCTTCGTAATACCAGACATATCTTAAAACGATCCAATTTTCTTCGCACAATTCCTTCTTGAGTTGATCTCGTGCTTGCTGTTTAATAAAATTATTGGGATCTCCTCTGTGAAAGAATTCGATGTATCTTTCATGCTGTTGCCCTTGTACTTCGATTGCAAAATCACATTCCGGATAATAAATATCAAGTTCTAATCCTATTGGATGCTCAGGTGTTTTAAAGAAATCTGGTCTACGATTTTTAGATGGTGATGATCCAAGATATTTTGTTATAATTTCACAGCATAAATTTTCACACATATATTTGTTACTACAATATGGACACCACGAGCTATGATATTTTATATTAGCAAATGTAGCTTTCTATACATGTCCTTTAGAACAATTCCATATCAATTTAGAATGTGCATCTTTATAACTATTCGAAAGAAATTTCCCGTTTCTCTTCTGTGCTAAATTTTGCATGTACTCGATAGATAGTTCGATTACATCCAATACATAAAGGACATCACGAATTTCTATTTTTCACATTTTCAAGTGTTGCACTTCATTCATGACCTCTAATACATTTCCATCTTAAATGAGAAGAACCATTAATATATTCATTTGAAATACACTCTCCACCTTTATTTATTGCAATCATTTTAGCAATATTGAGAGTATTTTTAGCTTGGCCTGCACAATATGGATACCATGTATTTTGATATTTTATATTATCAAGTGTTGCATGCCATTCATGACCCTTGACTATACTTGCACGCAAAATTATTTTGGGGCCCTGAAATTGCAATTTTGGGGAAAAAAGTTGAAATAGTTTTTCATAGAAGATGAAATTATTTTACTTAAAACCCGAAATTTTTTGACCACCCAGAT